GATCTGTTGTGGTATCCCTCAGTTCTTTGCAGCAGAAGAATTGCTTTATTTCCCCATTTGAATGAATTCGTATTTGAGATCTCTGAGCTTATTTTGTGAATCGCGTAGGTGTTTGCACACCTGCCAGTGCTGATCTTGACCTTCACCGTGCAATACCCTTAAAAGGATCTGAGGGCACCCTGGTTGAGAATCACTGGTCTACAATAATATTGCTAACTTCAATGAGGCTAATTTGGAATGTCAGTAGTGTGACCCAGAGTAATGTAGGTACCTAAAATATGCTACTAATGAGAGCACTCAGTTCAAATGACCACCTAAGAAATATGCTGATCCTGTTAGGATGTCTCAATGAGATAAACAGTTAACACCAAGGCCTCTTCTCTGCCTCTGTCCTTAGCTTAAACACCCTTGGAGATACAAAATGCAGATCTTATAGCTCAGGTAAGTCCACCTAGACTCCCATAGTCTACTTGGTAACCTAACTGGACTCCTGCTAACTGCATACTAACTGTAACTATCTACTCTGTAGCTACTTGTACTCCCTTCAGCTGAGCCTGAACCAGTGAAAGGGAGGCAGATGTCTACTATTAGACACTTTGAAATTGCCAGGAGTTATCTCGTTTCATGGCTGCTATGTCCCCTTTTTTCAAGGCTTGAAATAACAGAGCTAAATTGTTACGGTCCTGAAATTGCGGGGAGCTATTCAGTTTTGGAGCTGTGAATATTACAGCACTGATAGCACTTCACACTGAATAGGCAGTTTACATTTAAGTTTAGATAAGTGCTTAGTCTAAGTGCACAGCCTTTTATCAGTCCAACGCTAGGCACTTAAATAGAGTACGCTATACTCCTAAAGCATGCCTGGGCAATAAATAGCAAAAAAAGTCATAATAATGAATGCTAATAACTGTGGGTCAGATTATACATCTCACTCTAGAGCCTGACATCCAATCTAGGCCTAAAACTTGCAGATTATCTCTGTAATAACATCTCAAAGATATAGCATTTCCTATCCATCCGTAGCTAAAACTCTTGTCCAGACTCTTGTCATCTCCTATCTTGACTAATGGGACACCTCTCACTCTTGACAGATGGAATGTTGTCCCACTGGTATCCATTCAGAAAGCTGCCAAAAAGATAATTTTTCTAGTCATCACTGACAAAATTGTATAGTCTTTGCATTCCTCTACTGCTTCCCTTGTCTTTCACGTCAAATAAGCTGCTAGTCTTAATTTGCAGTGCCCTTTGCATCTTATTCCCTCTCTAGGTATCTTCTCTTATTCACTACTGAGAGGTCAGCTTCAGCCTCCATCATCCACTCAAACAAATACCTTCACTTTGCTGCCATGCTGTTTGTCATATTTGCAAGGAAGCTCCTCAATGATTTCTCCAAAAGCACATCACTCTTCTTCTTTAACTGCCCCTTAAGTAGTAAGTAATCTTCTTAACACGTGGTAACTTTAGACAGCTTGACAATGGCTAGGCGGGCAGCGTAAGGAGACTGCCACCTATCACATCAATCAGTACTGACTTATTCCCTCCTTGTACTCCTCTGTGGACACATCTACGCGTGCAGCAATTAATACTCCTCAATAAACTCTGGAGTATATTGTGCCCGAGTTTATTGCTTCTGGGCACTGCGTTTGCATGTGTGCCCGGGACTACAGCACATTGATCTGGGTCAGAACAGGCTGGCCTGGCAGGGGACCCTGGAGGTCAGCCTGCCAACCCAGGGCTGCTCCGACTTGGCTCAACATGCTGCAGAAGGGCTGGATGGGGCACGAGGGTGCTCCAGTGTGGGGCTAGCTGGTAGGCAACCCCCATATTGAAACACCCTCATGCCCCAGCGCTGCCAGTGTCTAACCTTGTGCTGCTGCAGATTAAAAAGCTCTGCCATAGTATAGTACTTGTGTTTACAAGTGCTAACCTGTGGCGGAGTGAGTTAGTTTACTCCGTTCTAATAGCACGGCAAGTTTACTGTAGAGCTAATTAGGCAACTGCAGGAAACATCTCATGCAGATGCGCCCAGTCTGTGTCTACCTCATGTCTCTTGTTCCAGATGATAAAATCTTTGAAGCTGGGAATATTTTTTGTGTTTATACAAAAAATTTTGTGTGTTTATACTGTATATACACAGTATAAACTGTGTTTATACAGTGCCCAACAAAATGACGCCCTGCTCCATGAATGAGGTTCTTAGGTGTTGCGACAATAATAAATAGTATGTGCTACAAGGATGGATTCATTAGGATCTCAGATGACATGTATAATTATGTGATAACATCCAAATGCAGAAAAATCGCTAGATTGGTTTGCTGATTTTCTGCCAAGAAGAACCAAATGATCATAAACAGAATCTCTCCTTAATTATTAATTCCCACTTACTGGAAAAGATACCCTTATGTGTGACATGCATTCTTGTATTTCTCTGTTGCTGAAAAATAAAAATATGAAAGAGATGCAAAAGTGGGTATTGGTACTCACATGGACATTTGTGAAATGCATACTTACCCATTTTTAATTCAGCTTGGCAAACAGGAATGATTCAGGTGTTCTTAATGGAGTTTTTCACTATTAAAAAAGGAACAGAGTACAATCTGCTGTGGATATCCAAATATCTATGGAAAACTAGTTTATACGCAATTTATTCAACTCTATTTTTCTTGGTTATATCCTTGCCTTAAAGTAGCATATAAATATTCAGTTCTAGCTTATAGCTCTGCCCTATATGGGAGAGTACATTGTGCCATCTGGTGATAGTTATGAGAAATGCTCTCCTAGAGAATGATCAATAGTGCAGTCCCCTGACAAACTGCTGCTTTGTATTCTAAACTTATATCAAAATGCAACATAAAGAGTAACTAGAGCTGATTTTAAGCCAAAGACCAAAAGTTTAGATTCCATCTCATCTTCCCAAAAGTTTTTGGAAAGAAGTAGGATGAACACTGGGGGGGGAAAAACAGTAAAATGTAAACATAGGAGAAAAGACTCATGGGGAAAATCAGATTTTGTTGTAGAAGTTGTACTTTGTCCACTGACATTGTGAATTAGCTAAATATTTTGGGAGAGGGTCTCGCAGCTAAATGTTAAAGCATTTTCTGTCTAAAGAAGTTAACATGCTCCGGATTGCTTAACGCTATGGTCAAAGTCTGCATCTTAAATGCAAACAAGGAAGTTTTTAAAAACAAAAATAAAGACCAAACTCACATGAATAAGCATGTGCACAGACATAACCCACCTTCTCTTGACACTGAAGGAATCAACTGATTTGCTAATAGGCATACATATCTGATAAAGTAGTTTGCTGCCTATGAAAGCTCACACTGCTCTGAAATAGCCTTCAAGGCCATGTGTAGACGAAACAAGGGCTGTGAGTCCATGATACTTTAATGGTGTTGGTGGCATATTGTGCAGTAATTCCAGCTGCTGTAGGAAACTTGGTGGTGTAATGCACCTCAAATGACTTGGAGCGCAGCATGGCTGCACTGGTGGGGCTCCCAGTGGAGCGGGAGCCCCCCGGAAATACAAGGCCAGTTACCACCCCTGTGAAAGGTGGGTTGGAGTGCCTTAACCCCTAGCCCCCACAACACTGTAGGTACAAGGGAGGCAGGCACGGCTACGGCCACCTGAGCCCAAAGAGGGTGTAAGACCCAGATGAGGTCACGCATGGCAACAGCCACCTGAGCTCCCACTGGGGAGGGAAGCCCTGTGGCCCCAGTGAGGGGGCACCAGAGGGCTGGGAGCCCAGTATATGTGTGTGAGTGTGTATAGAGTTCCCTATAGAGCCCCGGGACCAGGGAAAGCTCAGCCCTGGTCAGGTAATTGGCTGGCCACTACCCTGGTGAGGGCCGTGGGGGAGGCCCCAAAAATGGTACATTTGCCACCCAAGGTGTGAACTAGGTAAAGCCTATGGCTGAAGGGGCCTGCTCCAAGAGGGAGCAAGGCATGGTACAAGTTGTTGATGCACGAAAGAGACCCTGTGAGAGGGGGTGGAGTGTGAGAGGCCCTAGTGAGAGGAGGGTGGTATGAATGTGTCTGTGTGTCTGAGGCCTGACAATGAAGGCTAAGCTGGCTCCGGCTGTAGGCCAGGAGCATTGTCACCTGGATGCCATCTGCAAGGCTTGGGCTGTGGTGCAGGGGAGGAATGGAGCTGCAGGTAGCGCCCTCTGGCATCGGGGCAAGAATGGGCAGCCTCCCGCCTAATTAACACCATAATTGTGTATCATCAAGGTGTGGCAGGCAAGGAGGCGGGCTGTTGGCCCAGAAACAAGTGGGTGGACCAATGGCAGACTGGGCCTGAGCGAGCCCCCTGTTACACGCAGCAAACTAAAACTCCTCCTTTGTTTCCATTGGCTGAAGAAATTCCACAATTCTGCTTTTTAACTTGTTTTATGTTTCACAGATGGTGTTAATGTGTTTTAAGATGATAAAGTAACAATGGCAGGTACTGAGTTAGATAAGTTCTCAGTTATGATGGTTTCCAACATAGCACTGTACACCGTACAAAAGTTTAATGGTACTTTTGCCAAGCAAGTACAGTGGGAGCAGGACGAGATAGGCCAGAAAATCAGCTCTGGAACCAGCTTGGATTCTTAACCCTGAAAGGTTCAGAGGTGCCTTTTAATGGCAGAGGAAAAAATATGCAGATAGAGTCAAACAGAAGAGTTTCTGTTAGCAATTCCATTGCTGGGCCACTTGTGCTACCCAAAATATACCCACTGCCATGAGGGAACTGAAAGTGAGTCTCTCTGTGCTTGAAAGATGACAGAATGACATGATTTGAGGCAATAACCAGGCAGAGATGAAAGATCTTCAAAACAGATTAAAATATGTGTTCCCATAATATCTACAAAACAAACATGTGATGATCATTTTAGCCTCTGTTCCCAGTAATCTGAGATCGATTTTATCTTTTGTTTACTAGGATTAGAGTAAATAAGAAAAGTTAATTTTTAGCTATCGTTTTGTGAATACCTTTCTTTTTAAGAAGAAACATTTAATTGAGGGTCATTTTGAAAGCTTGGAAACTGGCAGCAATGTATTCAACGGTGCTGTTCTTGTGGATAGTTACTCTGACGCACTGTGTTCTTGCAGGAAACAGTAAGTGTCTCTCCCTTTCTAATAGCAAAGAATATTCGATAGGTCGAGCTTGCAGCAAGGATGGAAAACCTGGAGGTTATGGCAGTTTTACAAACCTCTTGACTTTTGCAAGTAGCTGAAAAGATCTTAAAAACTTCTCCTCCTTGTCCTCCTCCTCTGTTTCTTCCTCCCTCACATTCCCCAGTGGGAAATAAAGTTTTATAAGACAGATGCAGAAAGAGAAGGCAAAGGAAATTAGTATTAGGAACAAATATCATGCAAACCTAATTAGTGGAAGGTCATAAATTATTTGGCTTCTGTAACCTGAGCACATTAATACCAGGGTTTTCTGCTTTCCTCCTTTCTCCACACAAGCTTCCTGAGATATCCCTTCATTCTGCTTTAAGCCAAAGTCTCTGTGTGACTGCCCGTCTCCTCCTCTCAGGGGTTCTTGTGTCCCACTCCTCCTGCCTGATCCAAGGTTTTGTGTATCCCTCCCCTCATTGAACACCAGTCACCCTTTTTGCCCTGTGCTTTCCCAAACTGGAGCCCTCCATTTTTCTTCCCTGCCAGAAGTTTGTTGCCAGTCCTAATGGCTAGGAACTATTTATGAAACTCCCCTTCCTGCCCTGCTATATCTTTCCTTTCTATCTGGCAACCACAAAGTCTATAAATACTTTTAAACTGTACTGAGGCTCAATCTATAGAAAATTACAGACAAGGAAATGCCACATGTGTTAAGAGCTCATGTCATTTTATCCAGTTTTAATAATACAGTAATAAAAATATCTATTGTCAAGTTTGATAACTGATGCAACAAGTTCTTCTGCATTGTACCCCTTTTATCGTTAAGTGGTTCCTTTCTTCTAGTCTGCTCAAAGCCACCTGAAGTGCCATTTGCGACAATTGATGTAGATAAGAAAGAATATCAACCTGGTGAAGAAGTGACATATACCTGTAGGCCTGGTTACGTCCATCAGAGCGGCACAAAGAAGTATGTTTGCAATTGGTCTGGCAGATGGCTTCTTAACACGATGAAATGTACACGTAAGTAACCCGTAGGTTCCATTCCTCGGCGTTGTATCACAGAATTGACAGTTGTGCATTGGTCTATAAATGCGGTGTTATGGATTGTGGAATGTGTAATATTATAAAATGTGGCTGTTTGGCTTTCTGTGTACTCCACTTCTGCATTTCTAAGAGCACTGAGCACAAAACCAGCATCTAGTTGATTCTCATGCCTGTTACGGCCCCTCATTAAGGCGTTGCACACTTGCTTCACTTTCTTACTGTTTTCCTCAATCCAAAACAAAATGTTTGAGATAGGAAATGTGTTGTATGTGTTGTATTTCTATATGTATTGAAAAACAGTTTACAAAATCAGTAAGTAATGTCACAGCTCAGCTGTTTTATCTTCAAAATGGGATACCTCATTTGTTCTATCATTTGTTTAAAGTATATGAATGAAATGTTGACAACTTCAATGTTTATGGTGCAATTTGTTTTATTTTTACAACACTTGCATTTACTGCAATAGACACCTTTGAAATTAATTTAATTTCATTAGAGAAAATTATTTTATTCAAAAATTTGCATAATTATAATTTGGACAGTCACTCATCCAAGCCAGTCACTGATACATTTGCAAATAGCTTAAATATAGTTTGATTTCAAATAAAAAGTATAAAGACTCATGAATAAAGAAGTGTAAAAACTTGACACCATACTTGCATACAATCAAACTTGCTAGCATCGTTTTAGTTTTATAGATCACAAAATAATACACTCTTCCATTGTCTTTTAAACAGCAAAGAAATGTCCATTTCCTGGACTGCTGGAGAATGGAAAAATTTCTTTTACAGAATTGACCTTTCAGAGTACGATAAGTTTTTCCTGTAATCCAGGGTAAGTCCTCATATCACTAGACCCTAGTTCTTTTCTGGTGTCTCTTCATCTCTAAGCAGCCCCCCAGGTTCATACCCCACTAACCCACCCAACATTATGCTACTGCACTTGAATAGTTTATGGGAGACTTCACTTTTTCAAGACAATGATTCCCAGAAATAGAAATAGTCCTAACAGCAGGAGAAACTTTATATAAATCTTTATTCTGCACTACTTTTCATCTGCTTTTGAAATTCCCTTACTACATCATGAGATGAATCCTACAGCAGAGATGGGCTAATCTCCTTCTATGTCTTTTTTGCAAGAATGAAAATATGAAATTAACCCTAATTTGATCCCTGCATGCAGCAGTATAACATACTGTCACCCAGGGCTGGTTGGTTTGAACAACTGATTCTTTTGCCAGTTTTGGAAATGTAAGATAAATTAAGTGAATGTTGACCATGAAAACTGTAGAAGCATGTGTTTGAAAACAGCACACTGATTGAACCAGGGGCACATAGTGTCATGGTTCAGATAGAGCTGTTTCCTTGTTTTGAAGTGCTATAAAGTAAGCACTGAAACGAGAAAGAAATTAGCATAAAATAATTGTGCTGAAAAAAGCATAGGCAGAAAAGGTTAAAAAAAAAAAGAAATATGCCAAAATACTTAACCACAATTTAAACTTGCAATCGAAGAATTATGCTTCAAACACCCTGTTTATATATACGGTCATTTGTTGCACATGGGCAGTAGATAAACTCTCAAATGTTATGGAACAAGGTAAGGAGGCCTCATGAAAATACAACTTTACAATGAATAACACCCAAAATATACTGTTCAAGGTGCGCTGTATTATTAGTATGTCAAATGCAGTTTGTATCCAATGCTTTTTATTATACGTATAGCAAAACAATACCTATTTGACATTTTAAGAACACCTACAAAACCCAGCCCTCTGTCATGAGCAGTTTTAGGCCTAACGTCACCAATGATCAGGGAGGGAGAAAGAAGAGCAGAGGGTATCACAAGCCAGCTGTGACTTGTCCTCTTCCCCAACTTCCTGAGTCTGGAATCGTTTCTTACCATGCTCTAAGGCCTGGAAATGTATCGTTCTGCAAAGACAAAATTAGGTTTCAATGCTTGCGATCTTAAGTAGAATAGTATTGTAGTTCTGAATCAGATCCGTGTCCAAGTGAAAGAAGTCAATTTTGGGGTGAGGATTAAAGGAGAAGAGCTCTTTTAAGAATTGGAGGCATGAAGTTGTGTGTGAAATGAAATACAGAAGCTCAAGGATGAAGGCATACTGTAGAAATGGGGGGAGAGGAGGAAGTGGGAACTGCAGCGTAAACTGAATAAAGTTTTGCAAACCCCTCTTATAAATACAAGTTATCTCCATCACTATACTACAGCAGGGGTGTCAAAGATGCAGCCCACAGGCCAGATCACATCATCCGGCCCCCAGTGTCGGCCTTGCATAGGGCCAGTCTGAGATCCCTGCATGCTGGATCCAGCACCCGTGGTGCCTGCTCCAGCTGGTCCAGGACTGTGTCACACACACTGATTGGTCTGGGACACGAGCTGCATGTGGCATCTACTCCAGCCAGTCTGGGGCAGCCACGGCATGCACTGCAGGTCCTCGATCCAGCATGCAGCGGGGAAGGAGGCTCCGTGGTTCCCCTGGATGCTGGATCCACTCTGGTCGGTTCAGGACTGTGCCACATATAGTGTCCACCCCAGGCTGGCTAGAGCAGATGTTGCATGAATCTCACACCCTCATCTGGCCAGAACAGACACATGTCCAGTGCAGTCCTGGACTGGCTGAGTGAGCACCGTGGGCACTGGATCTAGTATGCGGAGGGAAGAGGGGGTTTCCGTGGACCTATTCGTCTGGCCTGTGGACTGGTCCCACATCACCCTGCAGATGAGTTTGACACTCCTGTAGTATAGTATATAGGCAGTATATAGAATAAAAGCAATATAAATGCAGCACTTTTTTGTTAGGTATCCATCTAAAATTTCTGATATAAAGATATTTCAACTGGTGTCAGACAAGCATATGGTTCTTCTCATTTGTTCATTCTACTGGAATAAATCATGACCAAGTATTTTTCACCTGTGACATTCATGAGTGAGTCACAGACTGGAATACGCTGCAGAGCATAAATGGATTAATTCAAGTCACTTCCCTGAGAAACAGAAGTGAGATGAGCAATAAATAAAGGTAACTATGACACTGAATGTAGTAATTGGATTTGATTGATGGACTTAAATTTTGCTAACGATAATTTACTAGTTTCCAGTGTGTAATACTGAAATGACAGAAACAGGATAAGCATTTCATTAAGGATTAGTATAAGGATTTAAGAATAACAAAAGCACAAAGGTCTGAAGATAAGCACTTTAGAAAAAATGCAAATGAGAATTAAATTGGGCTGTACAGTGGTCTCCTGGCTGAGTTCTGTAGCGCAGTAACTTAACAGTCGCAGTCAATATAATCATCCTAAAGAACTACTCCCAAGAAACCATGCGTTATGCTAGCAATCAGAAATCAATACCCTTTTCTCACATACACTTTAATTATTATATAAATGGATGTATCAAATACAATTTAAGGTTGAACGTACAAGAGATTAGCATCCCAAATCAAGTGTCTCTTATTCAGTCATATATTGTAAGAGTTCTTAAAGCTTCCTAGTAAATGGATCTATTTCTTCACAGGTACATTCTCAATGGGGCAAGGATTAGCCAGTGCATGGCAGATGGAAGATGGAGCGGGACTCCACCTCACTGTCAACGTATGTGTACTAAAGAAACACACTGAGCCTTATTCCTGTTTATACCTTTGCACATGGTTCCATTATTGTAAAAGGGATTTAGAATACATTCACACCCATGCTAAGGTCTCTTTATAGTGTTAGAACGAGGTACAGAGGACTTGGTATAAATCAGAATCAGGTTTTCTGTCTGTGGCTTGAGAGAGATGATTGGTTTCGGTGTTGGGTGTCTGGACTCATTATAGAGAAGTGTTACTAAATGACTGGTTTGGGCTTAGGAACTTCTGAATTTTAATACTGCTTCAGGGATGATGCAGATCTCCTTTCTCTTACGTTTCCCTGCCGCTTTGATATATCTCCTTTAACACATCCTTCAAAGATGTGAACACCTTGATGACAGAAGTGCAATATATTGGAAAAATGTTATGTATATTTATATTGCCTGCAAAAACTACATTGATTAATGAGTTACAAACATAAATGTTATTGAGCCTTTTATTTATTCTAATTAATTTAGCAAATGTATTCCTATTTTGCATTGTGCAATGTAATTCTTTTATAGACATAATGCTCTGGGTGATATTCCTCCAGGAAGGCGTAACAATTTGGGTTTTTAAGATGTATGGAAAATCAATGTTCTACTTTTCCAGCTGTGACTTGTCCTCCTCCCCAAATTCCTGAATTTGGAGTAATTTTGTACCATACTCTAAAGCCTGGAAATGTATCAGTCTTCCAAGACATGATTAGATTTGAATGCTTACCATCTTTTGCACTTCTTGGAAATGAAACAGCTATGTGTACGGCTAATGGGAACTGGAGCAATATACCAGAATGCAAGTGTAAGTAAATATACAATCAATAATTTGATTGACTTTTTAAAAAACCCTTAGAAAATATATGGAAATAGTATGAACATTTTTATTAATTTGGCCCTTAGGAATTAATACCACAACAACTTCTTATATCTTGAATATTGTTATTGTGAAAAGCAGAATTACAAATGAAAGCTGAATGCTAACAGTGACCTCAAGATTGCACAAAACAGGAAGTTTTCTGCCCCAGAGTGCCTACAATCTAACATTACACAAAACAATGCAACTCTATTTAAGTTAACAATCTTTCACTGCTGTGAAATCAGAATCAGATACCTAAAGCATAGCAAATCCATTCCAATATCTAAATAGCAGGAGTAAACTATCACCTAATCTAAGAAGTACAAACCTAAATCCTCAGTTGGTGTAAATTAATACAATTTCATTGGCTTTATTGGAGCTTCACTGGAGCTACACTAAATTAAATGATCTTTGGATCTTCCCAAGGTTTGGAGGGAACATGATTCTAAATCACATTTTTATTTTTGTTTCCAATGTTTTTAAGTTTACTTGCTCTGTATCTATGTAAGAGACTAAAGGAAATCAAAGCCAATGTGTTAAATTGTACCATATTTTCTTTGGTTTTGCACTACAGATGTAACATGTCCAACTCCAACAGGAATAGAAAATGGATTCATAAATTTTGTTGTTCGAAGAACATATGGTTATAAGGAAAGAGTCAGTTTTGGCTGCAATGGTAGATATGTGCTAGACGGGCCCAGAGAATCAATGTGTGAAAAAACAAGTGACTGGTCCATAAAACCATCTTGTAAAGGTAAGACTGTGCATCAGAAACCACTCATCAACCTGAATTTTCCTAAACGTTTGACCAGAAGAAGTTGATGAGAAATAATCTCAGAGAACCTGCCATTTCGAAACAGAGCAGAAAGACCCAACATAGGAATTCTCAGGGCTCTCAGGACAACATTAAATAACTATATGCTCCCCAGTAAGAGAATACAACTGGCTTCAATGACCATGCACTCAAATTCTTCCTTTATTCCTTTTACTTTCTGTCTAAGTTGCCACTTTGCATGTAAGCCAGATGCATCTAGAAATTATTGCTTGTACAGCCATGTCAGGGGTATGATTTTTTTTTTCAACATTTTTACCTAAAGCCTGAATGTAGGCACCTTTGTACTGACATAATAAGACTTTGATAGAGCTTATTTTATTTGGGGAACCAACTTAACCACACTCATTGGTATGAGCTGTATTTATGTTAGGGAGATTTGCTGATACAGCTATACAACCAAACATACTTTAGTGTAGATTTGGCCTCAGTCTCTACAATTTGAAATCAGAAAAGAATATTTTCTATAATGATGTAATTTAATCTACTTCCACCCATATTGAGACATACCACTTTTCAAAGATTAACACCTTTTCTACAACTAAGCAAGAAGTGACATTTATCTTTCTTCATTCATCAAGTATACATGGCATTGCATACATACATTGCATACAAGTATACAAATCACTGTTTTTGAAATAAGAGGTTGGGCTTTTCAAAAGCAGTTAAGTGACTTAGGAACACAGTCCCATTGCCTTTCAATGGGACATCAGCTCTTAACTCGTGTAACCACTACCAAATATCCCATTCAATATCTGTATTTCAAATATTTGCTCCTTTATGGACAACATCACTGACCTTTTACACCAAAATGTTACTTCTGTACTTATCTTACAGGATCTAGACTATTTATTTTTTTAAATTCAAACCCTAATGAAATGGTAGTACAACTTAAATTTGAACTGTTTTTCAGCACCATGTAAGATACCGGTTAAGAAAGCTACTGTGTTATACAAAGGTGAGAAGGTAGCAGTTCAGGATGGCCTTAAAGAAGGAATACAACATGATGAAACCATTTCCTTTTTCTGCAAAAATAAAGAAAAGGACTGTGTCTATACTGTGCCCGCTTCGTGTATAGATGGCAATCTCACAGTTCCTGAATGTTTTAAAGGTATGAACCTGGCTACTTTAACAAGAGTAGTTAAACCCTGAGTATGTGGAACAGTGTTTTCATTTACTCCCAAAGAAATCTAAGGTATTCATCCAGAAAAGCAGTAGAAGGCTATAAAAGGGAAACAGCCCTAGCTATGAAAATGTTTAGATAGCTTTGTCTAAAGGTAGTTTTGTCCACAGTAGACACTGTTTAGAGGTTGTATGAGCAAATAAGGGACAAAGCTGCAGCCAGTAACTTTGTGACTAACTACATTGATGGTCCAAAACTTTCCTTGGAAGGCACTGCTGCTTCCTTGAGACTATGAACCATGGGACAGGCAGTCCTTGACTTACAATGTTTCAAGTTACAACATTTTGCATTTACAACGTTTATAAACTGACACCCTGTTTCAACTTAATGACATCAGTTTTGACTTTACAATGCTGGATCCGATGCGACGCCATGCCAGCAAACATCTGTTTGCTGTGTCGCTCATCTCCCTGGAGAACATCTGTCCAAACTTCCTTGGACGCTTTCTTTAAGAAAGCAGATGAGACTCCAGAAAAACCTGCAGCCAAGACTCCTGAGAAGACTCCAGCCAAGAGCCCTTCAAAAAGTCCAACCAAGAGCCCTTCAAAAGGTCCAGCAAAGTCACCTCAAAGAAGTCCTTCCAAATCAATATAATTGCTATTTACAATATAAATACATTAATGTAGCTATATTACTCATCTATAACTGATTGAGTACAAAATTCTGGGGTATTTTTAGTGAAAATAGGGTATTGGGCCTTGGTTCAGGAACTGATCCCCCATTTGTAACATTGTTTCTTATGAGAACGTTGGTTCTGAGTTACAACGTTTCGACTTAAGACGCGGTTTTCAGGAACCAATTGTGTCGTAAGTCCGAGGACTGCCTGTATTTGTATCCTGAGGAAGAATTACAACCTTGCACTGGCTTATGCTAGGCCTGTTTACTCCAGTCTTGCATAAAGGTTATGGAGAAGGAGCAGGCAAATACTGTATCTGAATTATGACAAAAAATATCAAAGGGTAAATGTTGTCTTAATTGCAGACATGATCCTGGGGAGTTCAACTGAAAGTAAAGAACTTTTCAACTAGAAATATCTGTATTAATAATGAGAGAAAGACAAAAGCTTTTTGGTAGTAGGATATGCTTTGTGTTTAAGTTACTGTATTTTATTAAGTCTGCTCGCATAGTATGTCCCTTTTTCAAGCTTCACTTCATTTGAAAAGGCGCGGGGAGGGACCTACATAATTCCCAGTGTGGGGTCACATGCTTTCATATTTTGCATGGTTCACACTGGCAGCATTTACCTTTCTCTGCCCTCCTATGCACTACTGCTAGAGTCCAGACATTGTAGGAATATCACTTAAATTAGTAACTTTTTGTTTTTAACAGAACGTGGATTCTTTTCAAGTGTATTCAAGAAGGACTATGCAGAAAGGACACAATGTGAAGACGTCCCGTGAATTAAAAAAAAGAAGATGCAGTAATTGCAATGCCCATTTTACTGAGATAAAACATAAATGGCAAGGTTTTTTAGGTGTCATTGAGTTTAACGCCTCTCTGCCAATGCAAGACTATATCTTGCAATCTAATTTCAACTGCTTTGCCTGATATCATCCTTGCCAATCTACTTCACATTCTAAGACAAAGTATTTTAGTCACAAATTCTTAAGATGTAGCCCAACTGTTCCTTTTCTCACTTTCTTCTTACTTTTTCTTATGTACCCTTCTCAGAAAACCTTCAGTTCTCCTTTTGTGCCTAAGTCCTACAAGTGTTTGTAACTGGTTCTCAGATTTCCATCTCTAACATAATAATCATTTTAGGTAACTTATTCTGTATACTTATTTCTTTTTAAATACTGCCTACTAATTAGCCAAATCATTTAGCTCTTACCTGATTTTAAAATACAACTTTTAACTTTATCCACACAATGCTCATACTCATAATAAAGTTTTCTTAAAATATAATTGTAGCATTCATTTTTTTGACATTTTCTTGCATATTTTTCTATCAGCTCTGACATTTAAGTACAAAAATGATTATCTCAATTTATTATGCAGTTTTACTTAAAGGTTGTTTTGTATGTTTGCTTTTTTATCTTTCTAGTTGGTAGATCAATCTGAACCCTTGAATGCATTTGTCCAGTGATTAGAGGGAACTGAGACCCAAGGCTCTACATCCTGATCTGTTACTTGCTCACTATAGCGTCCTTATTTTTGATTAATACTGTTTCACTTTGCACACACTCCCGCTGCCCTGGACTGTCCCATCCTCAGATCAGCACAAGGACATGGCCATGTGCATGTCACATGGATGAGTAAGCCACTCCAATTACAAGAACTTCCACTGTGTTCTGTGCAGAGAGCTCTGCACCTTTACGGTTGATGGAGGGGAAGAAGGGGCTAAGATCAGCGGGGCTTAGGACAGAATCTGCAGAGATAATGTTTATCATCATTGCCCCTCTGGTCCTGGAAAGAATCCCTTAGGTAAGCTTATATGACATGACACCGGTATTCATTCTGCAGTCCGTTGCCAATTAAGCAGGAGAAGCACCAGAAAATGAGCAAAGATCCCAAGACTATGCAGATAACTTTAACCTCCTAGAGATTTGTCAGGATCTGTAGGGTCTCCTGGCAAGGCCTATGACCTATTCTCTGGCAGCTAAGGATGGGGATGGAAAGGCAAATCTATCCCCCTAATAAAATGATAGGAGAGAAAATCTATCTAGGAATCCTTAGAATAGGGGTGTCAGTTAATTGCGATTAATGCACACAATTAACACATTAATTGTTCGCGTTCATTTTTTTAATGTGTTAATTACATATATGGTCTTGAACCCTGCACCTGGGCTCCGCTCTGCCGCTGTCACCGCCGCCTCCTGGCCACCCCACAGGGCAGCTGTGGCAGCGCAGAGGACTACAATGCAGCCCGGGTGCAGGCTCCGGGTGGCTGCAGCGGTGTGGGGGGGGGCATGCAGACACAGACATGCAGCTGAAGCCTGCAAGTGGTTGAGAACGCAGCCCAGCAGCATATGGAGCAGTGCCCAGTAGGTAAGTCTGTGAAGGGGAAGGGGCATGGGGGGAGCAGATCGAGGGCCCCATGGTGAAGGAGGGAGTGGGGCAGAGGCTGTGGTGAATGGGGCCCCAGGGCTGGGGCAGGTCGTGGCACGGAGCTGCAGGCAGCTAGTCCAGAGGTGCAGGGGGGGCTCTTTCCACTACACACACCCCAGGGGAGGCATGGGGGGGCACGTGTCCCCTGGATTTGTGTGCAGGGTGGAGGCAGGCTGCTGTGCGATTAAAATCACTTTTCCTGACACAGGCAGGGGGTTGGACTTGATGATCCTTTGAGGTCCCTTCCGACCCTAACATCTATGAATCTATGAATAACCGCAAGGGTTTAGGTTGTAGCCGTGTTGGTCTAAGGATATAGGCAGACAAGGTTCCTTGGGTGAATTTTGTTCCTTTTATTAGACCAACCCAAATGGTTGGAGAATAGTTATTAAGCAAGCTTTCGGGTTCAAAAACTCTTCGTCAGGCTCAGGAAGCTGCAGCAGTTGGACACACACACTAATTTTTTTAATCATGCAGCTAATCATGATCAATTTTTTTAATCGTTTGACAGCCCTACCTTGGAACATCTTCCTATTCCAGAACCTCTTTCTACTGTCACAAGGTGACCTTTTAAAAAGGGGCTAGACTCTAGCTTCTGACTGATGATCAAACAAGTGTAAAACCCAGCAAGTGGTTCAACTTAGGAGAGCCCCAGAAAGAAAAAGGGCTATTGTGGGAACCTTGCTATTGTACAGTGATGCAAGAGAAAACTCTGTGGGCTCCTACTCTGTGCTTTAGTCAGATAAATGAATAAACGAACTGACAAACAATGTCAACACTGTGTTTAAATAATAAACCAAGCCCTTTCCCAAAGTGCCTGATTCAGACTCCGGATGTGGTCTCAGCACTTTTTGGATGCAAGTAATCTGCATCCATGCCAGTTTGGATGGAACAGAATGCTCTGTCCCATCAAAATGAAGGGACTTGCACAGCATGGTATTATTTAAGGTGAATAATGGGGGCAGAATCATATAATTAAACTTTCTAGTCTCAGTTGCTCTACCAAATAAATCTTTATGAAATATAACGATCACTTGCAGATGTATTACTGGAGAAATTGTCCGCAATCAGTCAGATGAGATTCAACAATGACAAGTGCAAAGTCCTGCACTTGGGATGGAATAATCAACCGCATGCACAAATACAGACTGGGAAGTGACTGGCAATGCTGCAGCACTGCAGAGAAGGACCTGTGGGTTACAGTGGACTAATTGACCACCAACAAACAGCGTGCTTTTGTTGCAAAAAACCCCCCAAACCTACCAACCAACCAACTAAAAAAACACCCACAGCATACTGGGTTGTTTTAACAAGAGTGTCACTTACAAATTAAGGGAAATGACTCTTCCACGCCATTCAGCACTGGTGAGGCTTCAGCTGGAGTACTGTTTCTACTTTTCAGCCTCACACTTCAAAAAAGACATGGACAATTTGGAAAAAGTCCAGGGCAGGGCAACAAAAATGTTCATGGGCCTGGGAAACAAGACATATAGGCTAGGGACAGACATTACACATAAACTAGTTTAAGTGATCAGAAACTGGTTTAACCCTGTAACAGAACAGATGTTCAGTGCACATAACCCAGTTTGAAAATGGCTGAAACTGGTTTGAGATAAACCTGGTTGAATGTAGTATCAGACTGTACTGATTTGGGTCAAACCGGTTTATGAAATGTCTGTCCCAGGCCATGAGGGCAGGCTGAAAGAACTAGGGTTATTTAGCTCCGAGAAGAGAAGACTGAGGGGGATTTGGTAAGTCTTTGAATAGCTGAAGGGCAATTATGGGGAAGACAGAGATGGGCTTTTCTCTGTGGCTTTAAGGGGCAGAACTAGGAACAATGGCCTCAAACTGCAGCAGGAGAAATTTAGGCTGGAGATTAGGAGGAACTTTCTGACTATATGGGTTGTCAGGCATTGGACCAGGCTATTAGAGAAGATGTGCAATCTCCATGCTTGGAAACTTTCAAAAGCAAATTAGACAAGATACTTGGTTGGGATGCTTTCGTCAAGGATGATCCTGGCTTGAGCAGGGGGCTGGACTAGGTAATTTTATGAGGTCCCTTCCAGCCATACTTTCCTATGATCTGATGAACTATTGTATAACATCTAATTCTTTCCTTGTTTTCAGAATGAGGAGGGGCAGGCATATGAACATTAACTTGCTGAATGGCAGTTGATTTCCAGGTCTGCTGGTACTGTTCTGGCTCCTCCAAACCCTGTTGGGGTTCTGGATGATTTTCTCAGCACCAGTGGTATAATGAGCAGAGTTGGTGCTTGGAGTAAACCCTGCAGGAGAACCAGGGCAGGGCACAGAGTTCCAAGTGCAGCGCAGGAGGCACGTGGGCTCTGAGAGCAAGGGGCAGGGGACACGGGGCCGGGAGCAGGGTGGAGGCAGAGGCCTTACCCACGCCAGGAACTCCTAAACTGTGCTGGCTGAGCTGCTGCTGCCAACCATGGTCTACCTGCCTTGGCTATTTCTCTTAAAGCAGTAGCAGTCATGAACTGTGTTGGCGTTCCCATCGTTGGAATGCTGCCAGGGCGCGCACACAGACAGGGTGGTGGGCAATTCCAGCACCCCTCCTAACTTGGTGCCTAGAGCAGGTGCCCTCCTGCTCCCACCCCTCATTACATAATTACTTAGCACTTCCTCACATTTGCAAGCCCCAGCCATAGACCCAAAGATCTGGAGACCTTTTGGTTAACTCCTTCCTGGCAGGTGATGGAAGGCAGATCAGATAGGGCGCATCCAGATGAGCACACATGTGCCTGTTGCGGTGTCTCAAACTGGACTGCCCTGCTAGCATGCTTTTGGACAGGACTGGGATGGCTCCTGCCATCACTCACACTAGCGGGGTAGGCTGGGCTGCGTTGGGCCCTTTCGTCTTGTACAGACCATGGGTCAGGCTGCACTACGGCATTGCAGGGCTGTGCTGCTGCTTCCAGCACTAGGGGCTGTGCGCTGCCAGGGGTGTTTGGGGGGCGGGCATGTGGGGGCTCAAGCTCCCACCACAAACACACCCACCCACAAACCTCACATCCCCCTTATATTTTCATTCCCCCCACCGCCCCCGCACCGACCCACAGCTCTCCCACCCCCCACATTTTACACCATGCATGCCCAGCTGCCAGACAGGATGAGACCTGGTGGCAGGAGCTGTGCCTCCAGAGGCAACTGTCCCCACATCCTGGTTAGCAAAGGGTTCAGAGGGAGCTCTGATTTTTCTATCATAAAAAAACCAAAAGGAAACACCAAAGCATATAGATACCTAGAATTTTTTTTATTATGATGCTAGAGGCAATGGTAGGCTTCCAAATTGCTTCAAAATTGTAAGTATATGAATAAAATACTGCCCAACTGATCAATCTCTCCCTATATATAGATACAATGGCGTTTCATTTTAATTGTGGAAGAACATGAATTTTGAGGTATTTTAAAGAGTGAATTTGGGATTTTTTTAATGGAGAATTTGCAATTTTTAAACAGGGAACACTAGGATTCCTGCGAGTGAGACAAGTGGCAGGACCCAGGCAGCGGAGCCTGCCCAGGATTGGCACTGGGAACCCAGCTGGCGGGCAAATGAGGTGGCTGACCTCCTGGCCATTTGGGGCCTGGAGGACATGATTTGACAGTTCAAAGCAGACCACTACACTGAACACATCTTGCAGGCGATAGCTGCCCAGATGGCAGGGTGGGGGCACACCTGGCAGCAGTGCTGCCTGAAGGCCAACTGTGCAGCCACAGCTGCTGGTCCCAGCCTTCAGCTCCTCCTGGCTGTGGATCCGGGAGGAGTTGGGCAGGGTCAGTTTACCCCAAGTGGCACAACTTGCC